CAGGGGTGTTGATCTTGATGCCCTACTCGACATGTCCACTGATGAGCTCGTCAAGCTTTTCCATGCCCGTGCTCGCAGAAGGTAATTTTCAATACTAAAATATGAAATTTGTATACTATGGTGTCGTTCTTCTATATTTGAAATGTGTTTCTGCGTTAAAAGAGTGGGGTGGGAGGGTTATGTGTTGTTCTGTATAGTGCATTGAGTGGATTGTTAACGGATAGAATTGCTTTTTAAAACCAATTTATCTACTTGCACGTTCCATTGTCCACGAGATTTGATCTTTCATGTTTTATAGATAGGTAGAATTTCCAGGTGCATATAGTAGTTTTTGACTTATGAGTGACGCGGTGTATTGCAATTCATTATTTCGTTTCATATGTGTTTGTCTAATCATCTCGATTTGTGTAACCTGATATTCATTATGCTAAATTAAAGTTTTGTTGGTTTGGTTACTCCTCTAATGGGTGCTCACATGTCTTCTAGAGATAATTAATTTCATTATGTAGTGAAGAGAAACATTTCTTATTTTTTACTGAAGTGCTTTGTTATGTGCATTGTTAAGATGATTTTTTTTATGAGGTCCAATCCAGCAGCAATTGGCAACCCTTGAAGCTTGTGTGTATTAAAAAAGCACTTGTGAATTTTTACTGCATTTGTTACCTGTGTATCAACTGAAGTATTACCACTTTTGCACTCATTGGTGTGTAAGGTCTATATTGCTGATTTCATTTTACTTGTTGAATTATAATAAAGGTTGATGCCAAAAAATATCAAATTTAACAACCATTATCAATGCTTGTTCCCACAACTTCATAAATTTTCTTCTATTATATGTTTGTACATTTTGCTCGTTTTCCTCTGGAGAAATATTTGTGACTTGCTTGATTAAGTGGACAGGTTCCAGCGGGGTTTGAAGAGGAAGCCCATGGCTTTAATTAAGAAGCTGCGTAAGGCGGTAAGTGATTAAGACATGAAAGTATATGAAGTTTAAATTTGTCTGTCTGTGGAATAATATATTATATCCCATGTATTATAGCAGCCTTTGGGCATTAAATTTTCAAATTCCTTATTTGCTTTTTCTTTGGTGGTCTAATATGCTAACCTGAATTCATTGTTAGTACCATCTGTTTGCTCTCTGCTGCTTGACTTATTCCTTTCATATGTGTGACACTTAAGAAACGTGAGGCCCCACCTGGCGAGAAGCCTGAAATTGTCAAAACCCACCTGCGAAATATGATCATTGTCCCTGAGATGATTG